TATATAACAAATAATATTTAAGTTAAACAGTTACAAATTAATACTCTATATTTTCTTATAAAAATTATTTTAATTTATATAAGTTCTTTCTGTGGAAAGAGCAACGAATCCGTTGGCTGACAGTTTGATTTGTGAATTAATTGCAGGCATGCTAGGTGTGTGAAGTACACCGAGGAATTAATATTGTGCTTGATCTAACTTCTAGGCTATGGATTTGGATCCACGGTAAATGCTTTACCGATTGTGAAATTTAAAATAAATTAGAGGAAATTGTAAAAAGAGCTTGATTGCTTAAAATATAAAGGAAATTTGATTGTTTGAAATGTAAATTGCTTGCTTGTATTGAAAAGAATGCTTGTAATTACAGGTAATGTAAATAAATAGTGGTTAGGAAAACTAAAGACAAGGCTTTGAAAATTAAACCGATTGACTAGTCGGAGAGTTTGGTTGAATTCGTCAGAATTTGGTTGGGATTCACTTGCTCTTTTTATAAGCTCCACAGGCAGTTACCAAAATGATCCATTGATGCACGTTCTCGTTATTAGCTCCATTGGTCTCCCATCTTTTTACGTGAACAACTGCTTGAGGAGTGCGCTTGAGGATTGCTCTTCTTGTTCAACTATAGCCACGTTTCTTTATCTCTTTCTTTTAATTAATTAATTGATTAATAAAAATTAATTAATTAATTACATAAAAATCAATTGGACCATAATCAGTTAAACATCCATGAGCCCAATTTCAAAATACTGAGCCCAATTCCAAAAAATCACAAAATGGGTCCAACAATTGCCTCTCACATTAAGTTGGCCTATAGGGCAATGCTTAATATGTTAGCCCATTTTGAAAAAAAAACTAACCCATTTATGATTTAAAATTTAAAAGCAAAAATATGATCCCACCATATGTTTCTCTACAGACTCTTAGAACCTAGGGATTTTAATTACGCTCAAAAGACAAAACCTAAAACTATTTTTATGTTGCCAATACTCAAAGAAATCTAGGTAACACAAACAAGCAAACCCATCAATCTTCATGATTGACCACTGGTAAGTCTCTTTCCATAAAGGATCTATCACTCAAACACTTTTGTCCTTTTCTTTTCTTTTGGGGCCTCAATTTTGACGATGCAGTAAAGGGGCCCCTTTTTTTCCTTATTAAAACAAAACATGGCATCAAGAAGAAAGTACCATTGCTTTCATCTTCTTCTTTTCTATTGTTTATACATATATAAAAAGGAAACACACAACACATGGTCTTACGTCTTATTCACTATATATTAAATATAATTAGGTCTGGTTAGGTCTGGTGGCCATTGCTTCGGCCACCTCTATACCTACAAATTCTAACTTTCTTTTCTGTTTTGCTTATTTTCTTTTCCTTTTGTTATTTTAGTGATTTTTTGCAAATCAAGGCTATGGCATCCAATGAAAAACCCTCACCTAATTCTATCTCTAGAGATGAGTTAGAGGCACCACTTCCACTAGCAACTATTTTTTCCAAAATTTAGCAACAGTGAGAATATTTTTTCCATCTTAGCTCAAGGTAAGGAACTATTTCCTCTATATATATATATATAAAAAAAAAAATTGAGTTTGCGAATTGTGTACCTGATTCCGTTTGAGGAGTACATCTATTGATACTATGAGATTAGTGGGAGTAGGAAACCAGTTGTTTGATCTCCATAAAACAGAGGAAACTCTATCAAAATTTCCCCAAAAAAGAACTGACTTTAAGCTCCTTGTAATAGGTTCAACTACTGCATTTGCTAATACCTCAGCAGCGCTCCTACTAATGCACCAGCTCCTTAAGTAAACTCCTCTCTTGATAAGACTATTTGACCATTAACAAAAAGACCCCCATAATCTCCCCTGCCACTGAAGAGAAACACTGAATTAATTCTATCTCATCCTGTTCTCCCTCCTTTACTAGTATACAAGATCAAGTCTTTACCTCGATATATAAACTTATGGAACAAATGGATAGACCTTATAGAACCAGTGAACAAATCCCTTTGGTAAGATCTAGGGATCTCCTCCTTTATCCAACTATGTAAGTTTCTGCAATCAGGCCCTCCTCTATGCACTATTGTCCTTTTTGGTTCCTTAAGATTTTGGTTTGATTATTGCAACTTTTTTTTTTAGTGGGTCTGATGTCTATTACTCTTCTGGACATCTATGGTTTGATTGGCTTTCCCATTATTGGAGACAATGCACCATGCCTAGTCCCTCCTCTGTCCTACTCAGTCTCATACACTTGGTCATTTCAACGCCTATTCCTCAACTATCAAGTTTGGCCAAGTACCAGTTCATCATATCATGTGTAGTTCTTGTGGATTTTGTTGTGCAAGTTTATCTTCTTCCCCACTTCCGGTCATCCCATTGGTGAGTATCTCCCTTTGGCTTATGAACTAGCTTGTGGGCGACCTTATGCCCTAGTAACCATGCTTCTAGGTTCTGTCTTCCACATCTTGCACAAATTAATTATCGATAAACCTTTTAGCAAATGGAATGGCAACCTGTGGATAGTACAACTTTGGCTTTTTCAGTTATTTCCCTGATCTAAGAAATTCCTCTCTACCGCCAGTTGATGGTGTGTTTGGCTTTAGAGTATCTAACTCTATTTCTAATTTTCTACGCGAGGAAGCTATTGAGTACTTCAGGAACCTCAAAAATCCAAACCGCGTTAGGTTTACTCCATTTGATGATGTTCATGAGCTAGCAACGGCTACTCTCCTATTGTGGTTGAATAATAGGAAGCCTGCTACTATGCAAGATGCGTTAAGACACTGGGCTATTTTCACTTCTAAGCAGTATCTGCATGTGAATGTATCTTTTGATGTGAATTTTTTATGGTGCTGCTACTTTTGAGGCTTATATCCCATACCTATGGTGTAGACAATTTAGATTGATACTAAGTATCCCTGAGCTGACACTATTCATGGCATCTACTTCAAGTTACAGAAGGCACCATACATAATCTCATGTAAGTGAAATGTTATGAAAGCAGAGTAATTCTTCAGAAACTAACTATCACTTGTGTGGATCCAACACTGTGTTTCTTGCTTTTCAACATTGGTGGACCGCTCTTTACACTAAATTTGTGGCACCAACCATATGACTCCCTAAGTATCAAATTGAGTAGTCTTACTGTATCTCTAAACTACTTTTTGATCTTTTTTCTTTTGCCTTTGTAGATTCTCTTTCCCCGTGATCTTTTCTCGGGTCAACAACTCTAACCCTTCGAATAGGAAATGAAAGCTAGCTACATAGCCTAAGGGACATACTCCAAAAATCCAAACATCCCTAAAGAAAATGAGAGGTTTTGCACCTGAAATAGGACTAATAAAGATCCAGGGGACGCTGAAGGAGAGCCAGAAAACACCTGCATCTAGGCGTTCTACAAGGGTAGCCAACAAACCAAAACCTTTATCCTGGTCACAGCCAGATGCGTAGAGGTAATTTCAAATGACTCAGAGGTGTCAGATCCTCATTCTGTGGAGACTGGAAATGGTGATTCCACTTCTCAAAGGACATCCGTGACTTGTTCCTCTCTTTCTGCCTCATCTGTTTCTAAAGATACTTTCAGGATTGATGTGACTCACTTAGGTTGTACTTCCCCTATTTGACAACCATCTCCTTTCACTGGTCAAAATTCAAATGCTCCACCTGCTTCTTCTCCATAGATGTTTCTTTTATCTTATCTGTTCATCTTTGTCTGAATTGTTACTTATACTTTATTTTTCTTTTTGCAGACTCCTTCTCCTCTAGCTCCACCGATTATTATCACTGAGATTGAGGATCCTTTATCTGAGTTAGACTTTTCTTTTCTAAATGATTTGCCTATCTCCTCTGCCTCTTCTCTTGGTCAGCCTTCCTCTGCTTCTGTCAAGGTAGCCATAGAGCAACTTAGACACTTCTTTGCTCTTGATTTATTGGACTTATTTGAGGAACAACATGGCCATGTATTTTCTACATTAGACGTGTTGAGCAGGGTTAATGGTTTTAGCCGGCCACAAGATATTTGATCTCAAATTACAGACTTATTTTCTTCTCACCGATAAACTATCTCTTTGGCTATAGAGATCTAGTCTTCTATTAAAGACTTCATAACCATAAGTGACAAATATCAACAAGTTGTTGCAAAAGTGAATATTATACCTCACCAAGTATCAGAGTTTAAGAAATGCAGAGAAGATCTTCTCTGGCAAGTAGATGCTTTGAAGGTAGAGATTGCTTTATTAGAAGGTGAAGCAGCTACTGTGACTACCTCTGAGAAACGCCTTAGCAGAGAATATATCACAGAGGTTGACTTTGTTGAGGTTGACTTTGTTAAGATTGAAGTAAGATGATTAAGGATAAAGCGCCTTAGGTACATGCTTGGTTAGAGAACAACAAGACATACTCCTCTGCTATTTCACAACACCAGTAGACGTGGCACGAGTTCTAAGATGTTGACCTTGATTGATTCTTCTTTATCTGCCTTCTCTTTGTTTAGATTTTATTTTGATGTAATTGGGGATCTTTCCTGAATATTTGTTCGGTATTTATTAAAAGCCGTGAATCGGCCTTTGCACATTTATATAATAAACGGCTAGTAGGCCTATCCATTTTATTCATAAATTAATGTGGGATCGGCTATTTACATGCTTTATTATTATGGCAGAATATTGCCTACATTTATTTTTACATACTTAGCTGTGGTTTAGGCATATCACCTATATATAGTTATTGAGCTATTTACTGCAGGTGACCTTCTTTTCAGGGTCGTGGGATCGACCCAACTACTTGTAATATTGTTGTTCCTTCATCTCCCATATGATGTGATGGTATTTCTTGAGGTAATGACTATTGATGTTCTCTTATGTGGTTCTCCTGATAGACTCGACAACTAGTAAGCATTTCCTTTGAGGACTTTATAAACTTAAAAGGGACCCTCCCAGTTAGGAGACCATTGGCCATACTTACTGCATTCAGAAACCAGTGGTAAAATTACCTTCCACACTAAATCTCCTTCTTGGAATGATTTCTTTCGAATTCTTTTGTTGTAAGTCTTGGCTTCTTGTTTTGTACATCCATTCTATTGAAAGCCTGAACGTGTGCTTCATCAAGTTCCTTTAGCTCCATTGCCATAGCCCATGTATAATCATCTAGAGTTAAGCCATTTTGTTTTGCTACTCTAAGTGAAGGAACCACAACCTCCATTGGCAGAATTGCATCATGGCCAAAGGTTAATGCAAAAGGACTTTTTGAGTAGCATTCCTTTTGAAGTATGATATGCCCATAAAGTCTCTAATAATAGATGATGCCACTCCCTAGTGTTATCCTCAATCATCTTCTGTAGAATATTGATGAGCACTTTGTTTGAAGCTTCTGCCTGACCATTCGCCTGAGCATAATAAGGACATGAGGTAAGGAGTTTAATACCATAATCCTCTATAAAGTCCTTAACCTCTTGTCCCGTGAACATGTTCGCTTGATCTGTTGTAATACTCGAAGGAATGCCAACCTATGGATGATATGCTCTTTGATAAATTCTATCATATCTTGTTGCTCAACCTTCTTCAAGGGCATTGCCTCCACCTGGTGAAATAATCTGTAGCTACCAAGATAAAAGAATGGCCTTTGGAGGATGCTAGATGAATTTTGCCGATGATGTTCATGGCCCAACCCCGAAAGGGCCACGGTTTCAACCAATTCTTTTGTTGGGATCCTTTAAATAGATTCATATTTCTGACATTGCTGCCACCCTTTGGGATAGGTGAAGCAATCCTTCAGGATGGTCGGCCAAAAATAGTCTTGTCTCCTAAGGAGCTATCTCATTTTGAGGCCTGCCTGATGAGCCCCATGCATGCCTTCGTGAACTTGCTTCATAACCTCCATTGCCTTTGAGAATCCAATGCATCTCAGCAATAACCCATCAATGCTCTTCCGGTACAGGACATCCTCTATCAGTACATAGTGTAAAGCTTGAATTGTAATACAATTAGGAGTCTTCCTGAGTGGGCACTCCAAATATTTCCTTAGAGGTCCTCTCCAATCATCTGCTATATTAGACTCAAGGTCAGTATTAATTGATTCAATTGGTATACCTCTTTCCTCAATTGAAGGATGTCTTCTCTTTCCGATGCATACTATATTTTCTATTAGTTCTTTTGACATCCTCAAACCAAAAGCAATTTGGGCTAATTCATCTGCTTCCCAATTTTCTTCCCTTAGGACATGTGTGAACGCTACTTTCTTGAAATCATCTAACAATTAGATAGCAATTGCAAAGTAAGTTATTAAAGCTAGACTTTCCCCCAGCAATTGTTTAATAACCAAATGAGAATCACCAATGACGTGTATTTCCTCAGATCCAAGCTACCAAAGGATCTCCAAGCCAATGATCAAAGCTTCCTACTCCGCTTGGTTGTTGGTGCATTGAAAATCCAAATTAAGGGACATAGCAGTCTTCACGCCAGTTGAAGATATAATTACAATTCCAGTCCTTGCAGAACCTTCAGTGCTAGACCCGTCGAACCTAAGGACCCATGGGGCTTTCTCTAAATTGTACACTAGCAAATCTTATGGTTCCATTCCCTCTAGCTCAACACATGGATGATCGGTAAGGTAATCAGCTATAGCCTATCCTTTCATCACCTTCCGTGGATAATAAATTAGATTAAATTCTGAAAGGGCAAGGGAACACTTCCAATCCTGCCTATGAGATAATAGGTTTAAATAACATGTACTTCATTAGATCTAGCTGAGATACCACATATACTTGGGCGTTAATGAGGTAATCTCTCAGCTTAGTACAATTGAAATACAAAACCAAGCATAACTTTTCAATTGGTCAGTATCTAATCTTAGTTGGAATCAATATTTTACTTAAATGATAAATCGCCTACTCCTGACCACTATGATTATTTTGTGATAGCAAACATCCAATAGAATCAAAAGTGGCAGAAATATAAATTTTGAGAGGAATACCTTTGGTATGGGAAGCCAATACTGGCAGCCTCATAAGATACTCTTTAGCTTTTCAGAGCCACCTAGTGCCTCTCCTCCCATTTGAATTATTTCTCCTGGCGAAGCTTGAGCAAATCAGTAAATTCTTTCACTTTCCCTGCCAAGTTAGAGATGAATCTTCTAAGGTAATTGACATGCCCCAAGAACCTCTGCAACTCTCTTTTATTTTGAGGCGATCTTGCTTCTTGAATTGCTTTTGGGTGTGCTAGGCTCTGAGTCCTTAAGGTGGTTGCAGCATAGGGCGCACTTGGATGAGCACGTTCAAAGATCGACAGCGTCTTGTAGCACGAGCATGCTCTCTAGCACGACTTGGGAGTGCTACACTCTGAACCTCTACTGAATTTATCTTCAACACAACACGGGGGTGCTGGATAACACGCCCAGGGCGTGCTAGCCTTTTTGCTTAGGTACACTCTTTTTTGTATTTTTGGCTGGTTTTCTATAAAAAGGCAACCAAATTTCCTAAGATCAAGTGGAATGTGATTTAAGGAAGCTTTAAATAAAAACATAAATAAAAACTAAATAAAAACTAATTAAAGTAATTAAAAATACTAAAAATTCTAATAAAAACTATATTAAAAATGATGTGATTTAAGGGAAGCTATTTAAATAAAAACATAAATTTAAAAACTAAATAAAAACTAATTAAAAGTAATTAAAAATTACTAAAAAAAATTCTAATAAAAACTATATTAAAAATACTATTAAAGTAATTAAAAATACTAAAAATTCTAATAAAAACTATATTAAAAATACTATAAAAATAACACCTATCATATTTTCCCTAATAAGGATGGAGACTCCAAAAATAAAACTCTTACGAAAATAAACGAACCATTTTTCGAGGATTAAACAAATGGGTTAATAAGGAAAACTGATTTTTAACAAAATGAACCAAGCTCATTGACATAAATGAAACAAACTTTTGGGAAAAATCACACGTTCTCACCATCATAAATGATTATTTGAAATAACATAGCATATCATGAGCATCTCCAATAAAGCACATAGTGCACTCCCAATAATCCAAACATCTCTAACTCTTTGGGCCACCAATGCCAGGCATCAACAATTATCAGATAATAATATCCATTCGTTAAATCATTCACAGTAATGTTGTGCAGATATCACATCATTCTCATTGACAGAAATTTAGATCATAGTCATTCGAGGCATTACATATACGATGCTATAGAGAAATATTTCAGAAGTATGATGCAGATGATTGTCAGATTATTTATATTATGACTCGTTAAACCAAACTCGCCCAGGGTATCAAATAACAGACTTCAGATATCAGATTTAGCTAGCTAGCTTTCAGATAAGATATTTTGAGCATGTAGCTCTAGATTCAGATTTATGAGCACACAGCTCCTGATAATATATTTATAAGCAAGCAGGTCCAGATAACAGATTTATGAGCACGCAGCTCTAGATAACATATTAGATTCACAAGTTGGTAATGATAGTCATAACTTCCTTTTATTGGCCTCAAAATAGCACTTACCTTTTGCTTAACTTGTCTCTTTTCGATCAAATCATTTCTTTTTCAGATCATAATATCAAGTATAGTATAATATCATAACTAATATATCAAACACAACATTCATCACATAAAAATAACCATCATGAGTTTTTACTCATAGTACACAGAGCGGCAATTTCAAAGCCTGGAAGAGCCTCCTTCTTCACCTCCTTCTAGGATCCTCTTACCTATATGACTATGCAAGCACCTCAATACTCATTTAGGCATTTAATCAAACATTTGATGTGCATGACTTAAATACTTAACATTTTTATTCCTCTTTTTATTTCGAACTCCTGAAGAATTCCATATATTCCCCAACAATCATTAAACCGTCCTGTAATCTCAATTCAATCAATTACTCATCAATTAACATTATTAAAATTCACCATGATATCAACATTTAATGAATATTTCTTAAGCTCTTTAAACTTCTGATACGTTCCATGTCAACTTCCATAACAATATAAATATGATAACTTCAATTTAAACACCATTCGTTTCAAACTAACACTTGATAATATCATTAGAATGCTTAATCAACTAATTAAATTCATCAATTCAAAATGAAAAGATCATTTCCATGATCATTTCGGGTTGGCAGAATCTCCATCTTTGACCTTAGATAAGACCTTATCAATTCAATCAAATTAAAGCTTAAATCATGGTTTATATAATCAATACTAACTAATTAACACTTTAAATCATGTTTATTTCACTTATTAGCATCAAAATCAATCTCCCATTCAAAATCTCTACTTTAAATCTCTACTTCTCCATATCAAACAAATAGCACAAATTAAGTAGAAATTAGTTTACCTTAGGTGATTTCCATATCAAACAAATAGCACAAATTAAGTAGAAATTAGTTTACCTTAGGTGATTTCCAACAAAAACTCTTTGAAAATCAAGTTGAATCCTTAGCAACTTAGGCTTTCTTCATCTTCTTCTTCTTCTTCTTCTCTCCTTATGCGTCAGCCTCTCTCGTCTCTTTTCTATGGCTTTTGTTTCTTAGATTTTGTTAAGTAGTAATGTTCTTATAAGCTAATAGGTCATGTGTAAGTCACATGACTTCTTAATTCCTTTGCTTATTCATATTTTTCCCTAAATTTGCAATTATAACTTTCTTTGATGTTAATCAAATCCATAATCCTCCATTAACACTTAATTGATCTCATTTAGACCTTAGTTACACATCTTAGATAATTTAACACAAAATCATTAAGTATCTAATCAAAACACTAATTGAGGTGCTTCACGTGCTAGCTGCTCTTTGCTGTGACTTGAGCACATTTAACCTTCTTTTAATTATTCTTCATAATCCTTTTCTACTTTAATTAACTTATGAATTTGTGATTAACAATCTTTTACTAATATATTAAGGCAATCTTAATCAACTTAACCATCAAAATAGACATAGTTCTCCATAACAGTCTCACTATTCTCACTTGAGTTCACTCATTCATAAACACTATATATAGGTGAATTGAAAGGATTTAAAGAACATATATACACCCTCTGTATCTAAGACAACATGCCAAGCTTTTCATGTCCAGAGCTTATTTAGATTATGCATTTGCGTTTTCACATTCTTATCATACGGGTATATGCAAGGTTGTGTTTAGGCATATCATCACCTATTATTTATCACAGATCAATTGCAATTGCATGTGTATACACATTCATGTCACATATGTCATGTTCATAAATACAGATGTATGATCATAATATGATGTTTTAGGTCCAGGATGTTACAAGAACTTAGCATCCTCAAGGATCCAAACTTGGATGAGGCTTTTTGTGAAGGCTTGGAGGACTAAAGAATCTCCAAACCGGAGGGAGGGAAACCTAAAACTGTAAAATAAAGAAAGAGGGAGGAATATCACCGCGCCCACTTGTAGACACCAAAATTTTGCCTCTAAAGGCTCACT